AACTATTTCACACTTGAAGTTAGAGAGAAAACATCTTAAAATTTAAGAGAGTAACTATATCAAATTTTAGAGAGAGAAAGTACTTAATTTTTTTTAGAAAAAGAAACTATCGTAAAAAAATTTAGAGAGAAATTATCTCAACTTTTAGCTTTTAGAAAGAGAAAGTATCTTAAAATTTGAAAAAACAACTATATCATATTTTAGAGAGTTAAACAACTTAAAAATGCTTAGAAATACAGAAACTCTCTCAAAATTATTGTAGAACGGAACTATCTCAAGCTTTAACTTTGAGAGAGAGAGAGAGAGTATATTAAAATTTTAGAAAGAGAAACTATATCAAATTTTAGAGAGAGTAAAGCACCTAAAAAATTTAGAGAGAAATTATCTCAAAATTTTAGATAGACAATTTCAAACTTTAAATTTTGAATAGAAATTATATCAAATTTTTGAGAGAGAAACTATGTCAAAGTTTAGAGAGAGAAACTATCTCAAATTTTTTTATAGATACACTATCCAAATTTTGAGTTTTAGAGAGAGAAAACATATAAAAATTATACAAAGAGAACTTGTATCAAGTTTTGTTACCAAACAATTGACATGGAAGTGATTGCAAAGAATCCATGAATTTTGTATAGCTTGTCCAAACAAGCGATTTGAGGCATCCACGACAAAAATCCTTGATATGAAAATCCATAGATTTCCTTAGGATTTCAAATATCTAAGATTCCCAATTTCCTCCTATCCAAATCCAAACGGGCAGTGAAATTGAATTAAAAAATCGTCAAGATAGTGACCACGTTCTTAATTCTATTTCCCCATTGACATAAAAAGTGGATATTGGAAGAGGAGTCTAGAGAGCTGGTTATCTCAATGATTCTTCTATGGCAGTGTTTTAAAACTCAACGATCGAGAATTGTAGATCTGGACAAGGAATTAATAATCTAGAATTGTAGATTTGAATAGGGGATTTCTTGGGATGGAACTTGTTCTTAAAAGGATATCTGTACGTTGGTATTGTGAGATATAACCATTCACTATATTATGATTGATCAATATGACTACAACACAATTGTGTATTTATAGAGAGGGTACAACCAGTACTTACTAAAACTATAAGATACACTTTTTATACATGTATATCATATAATTAGACACTGATAGATCTCAATATCCAGTTGCCATATCTGTCCTGTTCACGCTCCCCCTCAAACTCGAGATGATTTGAAAGGGATCATGGAGAGTTTGGAAACAAACTGTGAGAAAGAATGTAGAGGTTGAGACTTAGTGAAGAAATCGGCGAGTTGTACTGCGGTGGGCACATATGGTAAGGAAATTGTCCCTGCGAAATATTCTTGTCGGACATAGTGGCAATTGACTTCAATATGTTTCGTGCACTCGCGCTCATGGAATTTTGGATTTTTAGAAATATAAATAGCACTTTTGTTGTCACAATAAAGTGGAGTAGAAGTTGAGATAGTGACACCCATGTCTGCAAGTAGCCAACGTTGAGCAATGCGTTTATATTTCTTGCTTTTCCAAGAGATAAGACAATCATTGAGAAAATGTCGAATTATGTAGTAGATTTGTGATCACTGGGATTTCCTAGAAAATCGGAATCTGTATAAGCCCGGAGCTCAAGGGAAGTAAAAGAGGAGAAGAATAAGGCTTGATGACGGCTATCCTAGATATAAAGAATGATTCGCAAAATGGCAGCGAGATGTACAAAACGTTGGGCACTTAAAAACTGACTAACCATATGTGCTGCATAAGCAATATCGAAGCGTGTATAAGTTTCCCAACCAGTTGCTTATAAAATGATGGGTCAAGAAGAGTTTTTACATCTGTAGCCCGAAATCTGATATTAACTTCAAGAGGGGTATCAACTTTCTTTGTATCATTCTGGAGTAGAGCTTGAGAGACAATCTTTGAAGCATATTTTAGCTGTGACAACAAATAACCACACGGAGAATAGACAACTTCTAGTCCAATAAAATACCACAAGAAGCCTAATCTTTCATTTCAAAGGTACTACTTAGCTTCTGTTTAATTTTATGAATTGTACCCATATCATTATCAAAGATAATCATATCGTCCACGTATAGTAACAAAAGAATCCGTCCTTCAGAAGTCTCAGATACAAAGAGCGCTGGGGTCATGATGACTTTGTCGAAAGTTTACTCTTATATCATGTGAGAAGGTACAGATAAGGTAAAGACAGGATTTCAAAGAACCTTGTTCTGATACCATATGCGATATAACCTTTCACTATATTACTATTGATCAATAGGACTATAATACAAGTGTGTACTTATAGAGAGGGTACAACCAATACTTACTAAAACTATAGGATACAATTTCTATACTAGTATATCATATAGTTAGATGCTGATAGATCTCAATATCCAGTTGCCATATCTCTTATGCTCACATGTATGGCACTCTCTCGGCTTAGATATTATTGAAATTTTGGGCTAACCCAAAAGCAAAAAAAAGAAAAAAAGAAACAAATTCTAAGAGTCATGCCTGGCCAATACCAATACCAAGCCAAAACAAGGGCATTCTACCAACATTTATCTTTATTTTATGCTTATTATTCCTACATTCTACCAACATTTCTCTTTATTTTATGCTTATTATTGTTGATTCTTATCCTTGTTAAATCATTTTTTAGCAATACTACTATGAACTGATCTTGTTTTAGGCATTGATTTTTCCTCATCAATTGGGTAAGCAACATTGGTTTTACTCTTTAAAATTGTTTACTCATTGAATTGATTGTTCAATCATCAAATAGCTCGATGATTGGGATAGCTAAGCCGACCCCATTTACTTTAGAAAAATGATTATTGGGTCAACTAACCACATTAATTTACTATCTAAAATTATTTACCATGTAAAACCCATTAAATTGGTCTCTTTCTTCATCCCTTTATCCACCGTAAGGCTACACTCTCCCTCAAGCCACAAGAAGAAAAAGTCAGGACAACAATCATAACAAGGAAGTTTAAGACTCATGAATAGCATGATTCTCTCTCTCTTTTCCTTTAATTGTGTTTGAGATTTTTTCCTCTCACTAAATTGCTTACTTGATAATTGAAACCAAACTTTGTGTGTGTCAGTTATAAGGTTATTGAAGAACCAAGTTCTTGAGGGTTATGCTTAACCAAATTTTGTGTCCAAGTTCAGTTAGGTTATTGAAGAACCTAGTTCTTGAGGGTTATTTCATTGGGTGAACCTATTCGGGTCTTTTCTCTTATCACCTATCACACAAGAGCTGTAAATAGAACCCATTATGGTGTTTTCTCTCATCACCTCAAGAGCTGTAAATAGAACCCATTTGTGGTTTTTTCTCTCATCACCTCTCACACAATACTGTAAATAGAACCCATTCGGGTCTTTTCTCATGTTTGGTTTCCCTTTTATCTTCCTATCCCACAAAGTTCCCACACAACTAGGGTCCATAAATCTTGCTATCCCACAAAGTTCCTATAAAATTCATATAAAACTAGGATCCATAAGCACATCCTAAATAGATCCCATTTGGGTCTTTTATCTCATCACGTGTCGCACAAAACTGTAAATAGAACCCATTCGGATCTTTTCTCTTCCTTACCCTTTATCTTGCTATCCCACAAAGTTCAAAGTTCCTATACAATTTATCTTGCTATCCCACAAAGTTCAAAGTTCCTATACAATTTATCTTGCTATCCCACAAAGTTCAAAATTCCTATACAACTAGGATCTAGGATCCATAAGCACGTAAATAGAGGTTTAAGACGGTAAATAGAACCCATTCGGGTCTTTTCTCTCATCACATGTCACAAGAGCTGTAAATAAGTTCCTATACAACTAGGATCCATAAGCACGTAAATAGAGGTTTAAGACTGTAAATAGAACCCATTCGGGTCTTTTCTCTCATCACTTGTCACAAGAGTTGTAAATAAGTTCCTATACAACTACGATCCATAATATCCATCAGCATGTAAATAGAGGTTTAAGACCGTAAATAGAACCCATTCGGGTCTTTTTTCTCATCACCTGTCACACAAGATAAGTTCCTATACAACTAGGATCCATAAGCACACAAATAGAGGTTTAAGACTGTAAATCCATATGCACATAAATACAGGTTTAAGACTGTAAATCCATAAGCACGTAAATAGAGGTTTAAGATTGAAAATAGAACCCATTCGGGTCTTCTCTCTCATCACCTGTCACACAAGGTTAAGCACGTAAATAGAGGTTTAAGACTATAAATAGAACCCATTTGGGTCTTTTCTCTCATCACCTGTCACACAAGAGGTTAAGCACATAAATGTAGGTTTAAGACTATAAATAGAACCCATTCGGGTCTTTTCTCTCATCACCTCTCACACAAGAGGTTTGCTTTCCCTTTATCTTGCTATCCCACAAAGTTCCTATACAAGCAACATATCCTAAATAGAACCCATTCGGGTAAGCATAGAGAGAGAGGATCAATTGAATGGCTTGTTCACAATCTAGAAAAATAGATGTTATGACAAAACAACAATCATTAATCTTTGTTAGAAAGATCCAAATCATATAAAAAAAAAACTACATGACATCTTACAATTTTTAATTTTTAATATTTAAAGTTTTTTATATACCTTGAGTTGGATACACAACTCGGTGTTACTCAGCCTTCCAAGTAGGATCAATTGAATGGCTTGTTCACAATCTAGAAAAATAGATGTTATGACAAAACAACACTCATTAATCTTTGCTAGAAACATCCACTCATTAATCTTTGCTAGAAACATCCAAATCATATAAAAAAAAACTACATACCATCTTACAATTTTTAATTTTAAAAGTTTTTCTTTTCTATATATACCCTGAGTTGCATACACAACTCGGTGTTACTCGGCCTTCCAAGTATCAATTTTGGAAGATATTCATACCAGAACATCTTATTCATAGCTTATTCATAGCCTTGTCAGCAATGTCTGTGAATGTAAAACTCCCAAACCCAGCAAATCTCTGGGATGAAACTCCCTTCTAAATAAAGACTTCAATTTTTGGGTTATTCTGATACAACACTAGATAATAACGAATTTAACCACCTTCAAAACAAGAAACCGTTTCAAAAATCCTTTGAGTGATTCAAAAAGCCCTAGAATCACAAATCCACCATTAAAATGAATCTAACCATGAAAAGAAGATGAAGTAAGAATGAGACCAATTGCAATAACAACTGTGCTCAATTCACATAATCTTGAAATCTTCATCCTGATCATAAAGCATCCTAGAGCAGATGTCATTGAGTGAGTCGTTACAAGAAATCCAAATGAACCAGGAAATCCAAATGAACCTCCTTCGACGAATTCCGCGTCCACAGAGCCATTTTCAGATAATGGTTTCACAGGATTCAAGTCTCCATTGCTTCCTATCATGGGATTCTGGCTACTTAGGTCTCCACTGCTTCCTATCATGGGATTCTAGCTATACAATAATCCCTTGTTTCCTTCCTCCACTCTAAGATCTTTTAGAGTGAAATGATTTCCATTGTTAATTGGAGACCATTCATTGTTACCTTGTGCCCCACTATAGTCTGTTTGGTGGGCCCCATTGGTGTAGATTGTGTGGGCTGCATTGTCGCCATAGAACTTTCCCCTGCTTCCTATCATGGAGTATCCCATGTTTCCTTCCTGCGTTCTGTGATAACTTTGCACAAAACCATTTTCATAGTTACTTGGCTCCCCATTGCAGCCTGCTTGGTGGGCCCCACTAGTGTAGGTCGTGAGGGCTCCACTTTCATAGTTCATGTGGTCATAACCGGCACGGTCTAGAAAACTTGAGTGGGTCCTGCTTCCACCATAGGTGGCATGGGCCCCACTGCCAGGATGGGTTATGTGGTAACTGCTAGCATGGTTTGATTCGACCCTCTCGCCATAGCCTAAGTACGGATAAGAGTACCCGTGGGTACCACTTGTTGGGACTTCAAAGTTGGGGACCTCCAAAGTTGGAGGTGGAATGTGTAGGGTTGGTGGGACTTTGATGCTTCCAGGCAAAGTTGGTCCTGTGATGGTTGGGGTTTCATGAATCATGCTTGCATTAAACATGTTTTGAGAATCATTACTTCTCATCTCTCTGCCCAAGCCTGTGTTGTGCATGAATTGAAGATTATTGGTGGGTGGGGTTTCATGAATCATGCTTGCTGCATTAAACATGTTTTGAGAATCATTACTTCTGATCTCTCTGCCCAAGCCTGCGTTGTGCACAAATTGAAGATAGTTTGTTCTCATGTCTCTTCCCAAATTTACACTGGGATCCACGCAACTGGTTGTTTCAAGTTGGAATCTAGTAGCAGCATCAACCTCGCTGGCTTCCATGAGCACGATATTATTTTTGACTGCAGGAAAGTCCATAAAAATGAGGAGTTAATTGAGATATTTTTATAGACTGAATCGGAAACAAAATACACCTAAATTTGGTTATCCATTAAGTGTATTCCATCAAGCATTGTATTCTATCCCTAAGTTTCCCAAAAACCCATAAGCAGTATTCCATCCCTAATAATAAATCATATCATGTTGTTCCCAATCTATGCCTTAAACCTTTGTCCTTAAGCCTTTGTCCTTTAAGTGTATTCCATCCCTAATAAATCTTATCATGTTGTTCCCAGAAACCAATAAGCGGTATTCCATCCCTAATAATAAATCATGTCATGTTGTTCCCATAAACCCATAAGCGCAAAAATTATGTAAAAAATGAAATTAAGCACTAAGCGTTAAGGGCTTAAATATGCAAAGAAAGAAATTAAGCATTAAGCGCTAAGAGCTTAAATGTGCAAAAACAATGAATTTGCACAGATGGTAAGAAGAAATTACGCACTAAGCACTAAGGGCTTAAATGTGCAAAAACAATGAATTTGCACAAATGGTAAGAAGGCACACCCATGAAAGCTTAGCTTTTGAATGTGTTGGAGTGATAGAGGGAGCTTGGCAGTAACCAATGTTTTAAAAGAGTGATAGAGTGTGTTGTTTTAAAAGAGTAATAGAGTGTAAACCCATAAGCGTAAAAATTATGCAAAAACAGAAATTACGCACTAAGCGCTAAAGGCTTAAATATACAAAAAAAGAAATTAAGCATTAAGCGCTAAGAGCTTAAATGTGCAAAAACAATGAATTTGAACAGATGGTAAGATGAAATTACGCACTAAGCGCTAAGGGCTTAAATGTGCAAAAACAATGAATTTGCACAGATGGTAAGAAGGCACGCCCATGAAAGCTTAGCTTTTGAATGTGTTAGAGTGATAGAGTGAGCTTGGCAGTAACCAATATTTTAAAAGAGTGATAGATTGTGTTGTTTTAAAGGAGTGATAGAGTGTGTTGTTTTAAAAGAGTGATAGAGTGAGCTTGGAAGTAACCAATGTTTTAAAAGAGTGATAGAGTGTGTTGTTTTAAAAGAGTGATAGAGTGAGCTTGCAGTACCCAATGTTTTAAAAGACCCATCCACATTGGGTCTAGGCGGGCAGGCGTTCAAAAATCCGCCTGCAGATGTACCTGGACGCGTTTGGTGCCTAGGAGGGCTAAGTGGATGTACCTGAACGGGCGCCCGGCAGGCTAGGGGGATGTACCTAGACGGGCGCCCGGCGGGCTAGGAGGATGTACCTCTACGGGCGCTTGATGGGCTAGGCGGATGTACCTGGACGAGCGCCCAGGCGGGCTAGGCAGATGTACGTGGACGGGCGTCTAGGCGGGCTAGGCGGATGTGCCTGCGGATGTACCTGGGCACCCGCCCAGGGGGGCTAGGCAGATGTATTCCTAGGTGGGCGGGTGGGCAGGCGGGCTAGGCAGATGTATGCCTAGGCGGGCTGGCGCCCAGGCGGGCTAGGCGGATGCATGCCCAAAAGGCGAGTGCCCAGCTGAGCTAGGCGGATGTATGCCCAGGCGGGCGGTTGACCCGGCGGGCTAGGCGAATGTACCTGGGTGGGCGCCCAGGTAGGACAGGGGCCCAGGCGGGCTAGGTGGATCTACCTAGGCGGGTGCCCAAGCGGGCTAGGAGGATGTCCTTGAGCGGGGGCCCAGGCGGGCTAGGCGGATGTACGCCTAGGCGGGCTAGGCGGATGTACGCCTAGGCGGGCTAGGCGGATGTACCTGGGCGGGCGCCCAGGTGGATGTACCTGGAAGGGCGCCCAGGCGGGCTAGGCCGATGTACCTGGGCGGGCGCCCAGGCGAATGTAGCTGAACGGGCACCTGGAATAGGCGGATGTACTAGGCGGCAGATGTACCTGGACGGGTGGTACCTGGGTGGGCTAGGTGGATGTACCTGGACGGGCACCCAGGTGGTACCTTGGTGGACAGGGCAGATATTTTTTGTTTTTCTTAAATTACGGAGTGGCCACGCAGGGTAGATATTTTTTGTTTTTTTTAAATTACGGAGCGCCCACCCAGCCAGATGTACCTGAGCGGATATGTTTTGTTTTTTTTTAAATTATAGAGCCCCCATCCAGGCGAATGTACATTGATGGATATTTTTTGTTTTTTTTCAATTACGAATTATTTTTTTTTTTTTTTAAATTACAAATATTTTTTGTCTTTTTTAACTTATGGAGTTTTTTGAAACCTTGGCAGTAACCTGTGGGTTCCCATAATTTTATCTGGGCGGGCCCCTAGGCGTCGGAGAGTTTTTGAAATATTAGCAACAACTTTTGAAATAATTTTTTTAAGATTTGATTTAGTCTCTGACAAGACGGCCTAATTGAGTCTCCTGACTCAGGCTCAAGAATGTAGATACCGTTATTGACATTTGTTTTTAGATAAAGCATGGTACCTGAAGTTGATTCTATATTTTGAACTTGCAGACAAGCCGGCAATACTGGATTTACAACTTGATGGCCAACCGCATACTGAGGTAGGTAACACATAGTTTCTGCTCCACATCCATATTCATGCTCAACTGCAAATACAGGCTCAAAGCCACCATACCAGAGTCTTTCATATGTGAAGGATCCAAAGTACAAATTCTCCGAACTTGGAAAGCTTTTCAAGCTGAGATCACGGAGGCTTTGTCCTTGTTGTAAAAGCTTATCATAGTGCTTTTGGAAGTCAGGGATTCTAAGAGAATGTTTCCTGAAAAAACAGGAGGTCACCATCACAATGAAAATCCAAAATCCAAAATCCAAAATCCAAAGTAATAAAACAACTTTCCTTTGAAATCGGTTAAGTTAAATATCAATTCTATCAAAATATAAAGGGCGTGGTTCGCGCAACCTTAAGCAATTTAATTAAGGCGTGCCTCTAAATTTTATCATGCTTGAGAGTCTATTTTTATCTCTTATTATAAAATTTTAAACTCTAAAAATGGTTCTAATCAAATAGATCTGTAAACACATGAAAATCTTGAAAATAGATGGTCTAGATAATGTTTTGTAAGATACACTATTTTGCGGACTCAAAATCTTTTTTTCTTTTCATATTCATGTATCTCGATGTCGAGATGATCAATTAAAGGGTTTTCCAACATCCAAACAACCTTTTATGATGGATATTCGAGGTGTATTAATTCTACATTTTAAGGTTGCAACCTTATATAAATTTTTTCCAAATATAAAAAGAAATGAAATTGTAAGTTTAAAGAGAGTCTATAACATCAAGAAGTCATTGAACTTTTTGCTTGCTTCTTCTTCTTCTTTCTTTTTTTTTTTTTTTATCTTTTCATTTCCCAATTATTACTAAATTATTTAGATTTCTAAGTAAACCTTTATCCTTCTTTTTTTTTTTATCTTTTTATTTCCCAATTATTACTAATTTTTTTAGATTTCTAAGTAAACCTTTATCCTTTCTTTAAGGAAATTCTGAATGCACTTTTCCAAATAATTCTATCAAATTCATTCATGCTTTTCTAATACTTCTGATAATGTGGAAATGGTAGTGTGGAAATGGTTCATTCATGCGTTTCTGATATTCTGATAATGTGGAAATGGTAGTCTGCATTTGGATTACTTATTGAATCAGAAATGGTAGTGTGGAAACGGTAGTCTGCATTTGGATTACTTATTGAAAGAAGGTTGAGGATTCAAATGGGTTTTCTAAAAATTTAAAAAATAATCACTTCCTTGGTTTTCTAGGGCAACATTGTATAAAACCCAAATATAAAAATTGGAAATTTTTTTGACTTGAATCTGTGCGAAGTACCTGTGCTTCAATGCCTGGCCTCCTGTGAAATCAGATGCAAGACGCCATTGAGTATGCTTTTTGGGCTGCGGCTCAATTTCTTCATGGAATTGAGGAGTCCGACACAACTGCATATAAATATAGAAACTAGTGTTATCAAACTGAACTAGCCACTAATCCGATCAGAGTTTTACTCCGGTTGAAATTGGTCCGACCATCCGCCAAACCTTATTTCAAATATATAAATTAAAATAAAATAATAATTTAAAAATAAAAAATATAAAAAAAAGCCTTAATTTTGTTTAGCATATCTATTGGTAAAAAACCGGCCGACCTTGACACTTGTTGGAGGTTTAACTGATTTGACTGACCAAACCATCCATCTGGTCGCAGTAATGACATAGAAACCCATTTAAGACCCTATATTTTTGAGTTTTGGAAAATAATTTATTTCATACTTTTCTTCTTAGAAAAATATCAGTAAAATGGTCAAACTCCTTTATAAAAAATCAGTAATGATGTTTAATTATCAGTAAAATGTTTATTTTAATGAAATCATTGCACTCAAATATCTCCTCAAGTATTTTGTTAAAAACACCTAAAACAAAATTTCCAGAGGGTTTGGAATCCTAAATAATTAGACATATTTTGTTGAATTAGCCCATAATGTATGGAAAAGATTACTAAAACATTGTTCAAGTGATTTGAATTTTAAATCTAGAATCATCATCCTCATAATCAAAGCCTGTTTCCAATTGTTTGGGGTTGGTTATGTGAAGAGTCTCAGGTTTCAATGAAGAGACTCTTGAGACTCAATGTTCATTAATCCTATATGAATATACAGACTTGTCTTTTATAGACAAATTATAATTGAGAAAATATAGAAATCAATGACTTACGATAAATATAAGATATTGTATATACCCTTCTTAAATATAGAAGTTAGGATATATACCTTCTATAGTAATCAGGTACAAAATATTATAGACAAATTATAGTTGAGAAAATATAGAAATAAATGACTTACCATAAATATAGGATATTGTATCTACCCTTCCTAAATATAGGAGTTAGGATATATACCTTCTATAGTAATCAAGTATAGAATATATACTTTTTTTTCACACTGCCTCTCAAACTCAAGATGCTATTAAAGAGAGTAATTGGAGTTTGAATACTAATTGCGGAAACAAGCAGTCGGATCTTCAGGTGTATAGCATGACTAGTAGATGCAGTAGTTGCCATGCTTAGATTGCGTGATCAACGAGCATATAAAGCCTTAGGAACAAATAGCCTCAGGAACTAAGGGCCATATCAGAGTAGACTCAATCAATCAGATAAAAAATTTCAAACAAAGCAGCCGAGACAATTGAGAAAACAGAAATGTACTTGGCACAGCCAACAAAACTCAGTGTGGATCCGAGACGGATTCAACAGCTCGCATACCAGAACAAACATGATCGAGTAATCGGGCAACAAACTCGATCATACAACAAATATTCAGAGGGTTTTTTTTTGGTCGAGTTTCAGATGGTCAAAGAACAAGATCGAGTAATAGAGTAACAGACTTGATCTTAAAAACAATAAGAGACATAGCAAAGATAAAATCAAATTAATGGATAATTTTTTTTTGCTTTTTTGGGATTGGTTTTTCAGAAGGGTTATAGAGGGTCAATGACAATATGAGTAGTGAGAGAAAACGAATATGCAAAAGTTGCAAACAAGATACACTGTTTTGACGATTTAAACACAAAGCCCGAGGGATAAAGGAAAGTAAGAGAGAGGCGCAAAGGGAAAGCAAGAGAGAGACGCACAAAGCCAAAGAGAATTACCATTGGAAAAGAGATGACTGGGCCCAGATAAGAGAGTCAAGGACGAGGAATGGACATGACAAATATAAACCTTGTTTTGATACCATAAACCTTGCTTTGATACGATAAGTATTGCTTTGATTCCACTTGAAGAGTCAAGTTTATCTTAACAGACTCCCTGTGTCCATTAATTGTATGAATATACAACATTGTCTTTTATAGACAAATTACAGATGAGAAAATATAGAATAAATCACAGTTTTCTATACTATACCCAGACGGACCATAAGTACAAGATATTGTATCTACCTTTCTTTCTTAAATATAAAGATTATAATATGAGTAATGATCCTATGAGACCCTCTCACACCCATGTGTGTAGGACCCCAAATGATCACCATTAAATTTGACACAAATCTCTAGAAAAGTTATAGTTGCGAGACTTGACTTTTTTAGATATCTGTTTGGTGATCATTTGAGGTCCTACACACATAGGTGTGGGAGGGTCTCATAAGATCATTACTCTTATAATATATACATTCCATATTAATCAGGTACAACTGTGAAGAGTATCAGGTTTTTTATTTGAAAAGACGCAGTGTCCATTAATCGTATGAATATACAGACTTGTGTTTAATAGACACATTACAGATGATAAAATATAGAAATAAATCACAATTTTCTATACTATACCCAAACATACCATAAATATATTGTATCTACCCTTCCTAAATATACATATTAGGATATATACCTTCCATATTAATCAAGTACACAATATATGCTTTCCTTTCACAATGTGAAGAGTCTGAAGTTTCTCTAGAGGGACTCAGTGTCCATTAATCGCATAAATATACAAACTTGTCTTTTATAAACAAATTATAGATGAGAAAATATAGAAATAAATCATTCTTTCTATACTATACCTATACTTACCATAAATACAAGATATTGTATATACCATTCCTAAATATACAGATTACAATATATACCTCCATATTAATCAGGTATACAATATATACTTGATCCGCATTCTGCTCAATCAACTGTCATAGCCTCAAGGCTACACCCAACTCTATTTTGGCTGCACGACATCTTCCTGAAACTTACCATTTCATGGATTATCGCTCTTTTTGACATTTCTTGGCTGTCAATATTAAAAACTTTGTTGTCTCTACTTCTATTATTACTAAACTTGGAATAAGTGATTGTAATGAAAAATAAACATTTTCCCTGTTTGGAATCTAGTGCAAGTGGAGTAGTTCAAGCCACTTGAGTTAGGATATATAATGTAAATACCCATACTTGTTCCAACTTTCAAAACTGGAACAAGAGATTTTAGTAAAAAAAACGTGTTTTAAACTCAAAACAAGGAATTGGTTGGGCCACTAGAATGGAAATAATTATAAAAGTGCACATGCATGTTCAGGATTCCACTTTGTGAAATTTTTAACAAAGTAATTAAATGGAAATAATTATAAAAGTGCCCATACATGTTCAGGATTCTACTTTGTCAAATTTTTAACAAAGTAAACTTTGTCAAATTTTTAACAAAGTAAACTTTGTCAAATTTTTAACAAAGTAATTTAAGAGGTAGTTGAGTGAACTTGAGTAGTTTTTTTTGAAAGGTATTGACTTCTTCCTTCTTTGAGAACTTGTCAAAATCTATGGCATTTTGCAATATTTTCAAACTTGGCTTGGGCCTTGAACTATCTATGGCATTTTGCAATATTTTGAAACTTGGCTTGGGCCTTGAACTTTGGCTTAGGCTGAGCCAAGTAACTTAACTGTGTACAAGTGTACTTAGTCAAGTCTTGTATGGGATGGAGAACACCAAAACATTTTTTTTAAAAAAATAAAAAGCTCGTTAAAATAATTAAAAATTTAAAATTGAAAAAGTAAGATAACTCAGAAATCATTAAAAGTTTATAAAAAATAAAAAAATATATATAAAAGATGGATTAAATTTACAGAAAAATGAGAAAAATAGAAAATAAAAAAAGGTGTTGCATTAACAAAAAAAAGTTTCCAAATCATTTAAAACCATAAAAATCACATAATAATACATTATAAATCACTAATTTCAGTTTTAAATAAAAATTAGGACTTTTAGTTAATTTTAAACATGGGCAAGTTACCCCTGGAACATCAAAACTTGCCTCGGCGTAAGGCCGAGGTACTTAGCCTAGTTCGAGTAGACGTATCCGAGTCCTAAAACACTAGTATTTTGTGTGAGTCATGCATAAGAGATTAAATAAACTAAAACTTTTATCGAAATTCTCGAGACAGAGAAAAATGCGTTACCACAATTTCGAAAGTTGGTGTTGTGTCTTCGGGAAAGGATGCTCTCATAGCAGTAATGTCTGACCATTGCATTTCCATTTTCTTCTTCAATTTGCAATTAACTTCCAAAATCTCCCAAACCAATCTGCGTTGACCAAAATAGCATTTTCCCGTCAATTCTCCAGGATTCTTCGCAATGAGCTGCACAAAAAACTAAAAACTAACATAAGAAGTGAAAAAGAATGGAACTAAAAGTCATAAAGAATTTCCCAAATTTTATATTTAATGTTTTAACTGATGAGGATTAATTTGAAAATAATTTCCAAATTCAAAAACAACTTATCATGTTTCCAAAAACAACTTATCATGTTTCCTAGTTTGATTGAGGAATACAAAACTTAAGTGACTAACACATATTTAACACGTATTTAACACTTTGTTGAGTATTATTTGTTGAGTATTGCTTATCAGTAATACATTGTGTAATAAAAAAAAATTCTTTATATCCCTTTTTTCTAATTGGAAGATTCAACTACAAATATTGTAATAAAAAATAACAATATGTCATATTACTTATTTTAAAATATAAATTTGAAATATTAAGGGCCAGTTTGAATGTCAAAAAATAATAATATTCACAACGAAATATTAACGGCTAGTTTGAATGTCAAAAAATAATAATATTCACAACGAAAAAAAAAAAATATTCACAACAAAAAAATGTAAGTTTTTTCTACTTCAATTGGAAAATATTATGGTCTTATTTTATTATGTTGGTAAACTGTTTGGAGGTCTAATTTCATTGATTATTGGAAAAGATTCGTGGGTTCTCTTCTCCTAACATTATGGTCATGGTCTTATTTTATTATGCTGGTAAACCGTTGGTTCTCTTTTCCTAACATTATGGTCATGGTCTTATTTTATTATGCTGGTAAACTGTGGATTCTCTTCTCCTAACATTATGGTCATAGTCTTATTTTATTATGTTGGTAAACAGTTTGGAGGTCTAATTTGGTCTAATTTCATTTGATTATTGGAAAAGATCTCTTCTCCTCACAATATGTGTTGGTAAACTGTGGGTTATCTTCTCCTAACATTATGGTCATGATCTTATTTTATTAGGTTGGTAAACTGTTTGGAGGTCTAATTTCATTGATTATTGGAAAAGATCTGTGGGTTCTCTTCTCCTCTCACTCTCTCTAGCACTGTTCACAGTTCTCTTCTCCTCCGCCGTTCACAATTCTCGTTCACAATTCTACTCTGTTTCTTTACTCTAGAGTGTTTTTTTACTCTTTACTCTAGAGTGTGTTTCTTTACTCTAGAGAGCTAGGGAGAGCGAAGGTATCACCTAGGATACGGCTCTCTCTGCATCACCGTTCACAGTTCTCTTCTCCTCCACCGTTCTTTAGTCTAGAGTGTGTTTCTTTACTCTATAGTGTTTCTTTACTCTAGAGTAACTCTAGAGTGTGTTTCTTTACTCTATAGTGTTTCTTTACTCTAGAGTAACTCTAGAGTGTGTTTATTTACTCTATACCTAGGATACGCTCTCCAAGGCCCCCGAAGGATACCTGGGATATGGTATCCCATGGCCCCATGGGCCCCAGAGGTAGGGCCCCGAAGGTAGGTGGATATCTGGTCCCCAAAATGGATCCCAAGGCCCCGAAGGTGGGCCTAGATATTCACCTTCGGGGGTATCCTACGTATTCACCTTTTATCCTAAGTATCCACTTTCGTGGCCGGCTGGTCTGAGGATACGATATCTTAGGTATCCACGTAATATCCAGGCCATCCACGAAATATCCACCTCGACCTAATATCTACCGACCTGGATACGATATGCTAAGTCTTAATATCCATCTCCGAATATCCACCGACCTAGATACGGTATCCTAAGTCTTAATATCCATCTCCGAAATATCCACCGATCTTCTAGGTATCCTCCTAGGTATCCCACTTCGTGGCCGGCTGGCCTGAGGAGGTATCTTAGGTATTCACATAATATCCAGGCGATCCCCGAAATATCCACCTAATATCCACCAACCTGGATATGGTATGCTAAGTCTTAATATCCATCTCCGAAATATCCACCTAATATCCACCGATCTTCTAGGTATCCACTTTCGGGGGACCCC